GCTAAACATCGTTCAAGCGTGAGCAGCGACTCCTGCGTTCATGAGTGAGGGCTTTCACTCGCTGACTCATGAGGTTTGAGTGATGTTGGCCAGAGACTGATCCTGGATCATCTCAAACTCTAACTCAAACTAATGCCTTTATTGAGATTCGGACCAAATTATGAACCCATTAAAAAGTGTCTGCTAAAAGAATCTCACATTCAGGGTCATATTTCATGTCAAAAATCATAAAGAAAAAAATATTTATGTTTTATACGGAAAATTAAGCCTTTTTACGTCCTTTAATTAATTAATTTTATATATATAATGAATATAAAGGCTTGTCATGTCAGAGTGTTTGCAGCTGCTGGTCCGTATAAACGACGTTTGCTAATGAAGTTTGACTGTATAATGAGGAGAAGCTGCAGGGCAGGAGTTTCACACGCATGAATTATAATGTCAGCGTTTTAGTTTGCAGAGCATCACACACACACACACACACACACACACTGAAATGTACAAGCAGGCCTATAAATGCACAGAAAATACTCAGCAATGCTGTCGACTTATGAACTTACACATGGTGTGTCTTAAAGCGTATTAAACACACCACATAGCAACATGACATCATGACTTTGCGTAAACATACACGCCACTTTCAATTCAAGTGGCGTGTTATCTATACGCATTTTGAAATATCCGCGTGTATGTCCACGCCGAAATCTTTTGCGTGTATGTCTACGCCGTTAAATGTCCGAGTGATTCCGCGTGTATGTCTACGCCGTTAAATGTCCGAGCGGAAACGAAGCAAAATCTATATCTACATCTGTGGAGCGATATTTCTTTTCCTAGGATGGTAGGAGAAGACTCATAAATGGTATTAACCCCAGTGACGGGTAGGTTTAGGGACGGGGTTGGGGTAGGTCATATATTTATATATATACATAATACAGTAATATAACGTTAAGTCAAAGGCGTTGATAAACACGCTGAAAAGCGATTATGCGTGTTGATAGCACGCCAAAAATGGAAATACGAATTGGCGTGTCATACATACGCCATTTCATGAGATCTGCACATAGACACATAAACAGCAGAAATAGAAGCAGTGTAAGACTGACCTGAGAGAATAAACGCGGCAGTGTTTCGATGCGATTCGCTGGGCCAGACTGAACCTGTGGTCCAAACACAGAGCCCACGACCCATGATCCTCTCTGTCGAACACGGGCGGCACGGACGCCGGTCTCTCACAGGACACCTTCAAACACACACCGGAGATCCATCATTCATCATCTGGCTTTAAAGTGCCCATATTATGCCTTTTCTGATATTCCCTGTCATGGAGTGTGTAAAAGATCTGTTATTATTAAGTTATGTTTATAGTCGTCAGTAATTCAGTCTCACTTCCTGCTTAATCTGTAGTTTTGTAGCTAATTTGCATAATGCCAGCCTCTGGTCTTGATTGACTGAACAGCGTCTCTTAGCTCCGCCCTCAAACACTAGTGTATCTGAGACTGGAAGAGTTCGGTTTGTGTCGAGACAGCCCGTTCTCATCCCAAGGCGTCATATACTGACGTGTTTGCCAAAGCGTGTATATCCAACGCACATGGCACCCTTTAGCGTCAATATGAGACGCAGACATGTGGCGCCTCCTAGTGGTCTAACCCTAACACTACCCCAGACCTAAACCTACCCATAACCGAAGCGTGTTATATTGACGCTAAAGGGTGCCATGTGCGTCGGATGAGAATGCGTTGGTCGAGAAGACGCTGTTTTCTGCTGACAAAGCTAGTCCACTTTGATGAGATTGATATGGTAAAACCATAGACTGTAAATAAATATGTGCGTGACGTCACCCGTAGTGTTTCTGAAGAGCGCTTTCGAAGCCCAAAGTGGGCGGAGCCGGCCGTCGCCATCTTGGCCGCGTCACTCCCGGATAAACGAACATGTGCAGCGAGGCGGATTAGCTGAGGTGACGTGACGCTAACACACAGCAGACAAACGGCTAGTAGTGACATCAGCGGCAATCCACCTGTCACTCAAGTGGCCACGCCCTTAATTATGCACAACTTTATGGCTTAATATCATTAAAACGGATGAGTTTTAAAAAATTTCACCATTTGGGGAAAACCCACGCCATTGTTACTGTTCGTATCACTGTGTGTCAAGAGCTGAGACTCAGATATGATAATGAGTGTTTGATTTCTGACCAATCACAACAGACTGGGCCTTCTGACCAATCAGAGCAGAGCAGCTCTCAGAGAGGCGGAGTTTAGAGAGACTGAACCGTTTCAGACACAAGCCATGTTTCCATCCACTTGTCAATCAAATTATCTGAAGTTCGGTAAAAAACCTCATGCGAATAAAGCTGGTGAAAGTGTGTTTCCATCAAACGGCTTTAAAGCGGATAAAAACCTGTGACGATAAAAACCTTTAAAGCCGTTTGATGGAAACACACTTTCACCAGCTTTATTCGCATGAGGTTTTTTACCGAACTTCAGATAATTCGATTGACAAGTGGATGGAAACATGGCTAGTGATGCTGCAATGGATATTATGAGAAAATGAAAGTGTTTTTTGACCTTGGATGAATGTAAACCTGTTGTAGGAGCCTTTAAAATAGCATAATAGGGCACATCAAACCAAAACAAAGTTGTACCAAACCGATCTCACGGCAATTCGTACGAATTCATACGACCTCACTTGTACGAATTTGAATGATTTTTGCTAAATCGTACATATTGTACGAGTTGCCAAATTCGTACGAATGACCCCGCCCCCTAAACCTCCCCGTCGCGCGGGTTTACACAAATGGACGAGTGAGGACGTACGAATTAGCCCCCTTTGAATCACTCGTCCGCATTGGTCGTGGGATAGCGTGAGGCTGTACCTGTGGTGTAGAGATGTATCCGAGGAACCGGCGGGCCTCCTCCTGAACCCCGCGAGGCTCGGCGGCCCACGGCTCGAGCTCGATCTTCCATCGGGGAATCTGCACGGACACACACACACACACACACACTGCTGACAGTGAAGACGGGCTCAGAGTAGACGTCTCTGGAGACTGCAGTACATGAGGGTTTGTTCTTGTATTTCTGAGATTCTGTAGCTCATAAATGTGTCCGGAAACCTTTCTGTGAAGTGGAAGATTCATTAGTGAAGATCTGGAGCTCAGGATTGTATTTTGTTTTAATTATAGTTTTTATACATATTTTGAATCAGATTTTATTTTAATATTTTCATTTTAGATTATTTTTTGTAATTTTGATCAGTTTTATTTTTTATTTTTATTTCAATTAATATCACCTAATATATATATATATATATATATTATTATTATATATATATATTTTTTATTGCAGATAGATACAACATAGCATACAATATTACAGAACAAGGAAAAACATTAATTGGTAGCAGGGGATCCAAAAATAATATAAAAATATTTTAAACATGTTAATGACTTTTTGTTTTTTAACAATTTCAGAGAAGATATGAAGCAATCAAATTCTAAATTAAACAACTTCAATATTGGGGATGAATTTAAATATGTTTGCTTATGGATATACAATTTTGCCAACAGTATACATAAATCAACAATGTATTCAAGACCTTTGTTAACATTTTTTTCATAATACACAATAATATCCTTTAAAGTAAAATAGTATTTCATTTTTACTAAATTAAAGATAAATTCAGCCAATTCCTTCCAGAAATTTTCCTGCCAGGAAGTGACGTCGTTTTGGCGGGAAAACAGCAGCACAAACATCATCAGTAAGTGTATCTGTTATCAATATCATCACAGATCTGAGATCTGTGACGCTGGTTTGTTTCACTCTAAATCGTCCCACAAACTCTGTTAGAAATGCTCATGTTTTTATAGAGTTGGAAGGACAAGTTATTTATAGCTTGTTTTACTCTATTTCTATTTTTAGAGTTAGACTCTGGCTACATCTGCATTTTTCCATCCCTGTTACGAATGTCAAACAAACCCGAGGTCAGCATGAGTGCAACATCTGGGTTATTACAGAAGAGAGTCACATCTTCATCATCTTCATCATCCTCTCAGGCTATCTTCATAAACATTAGTAAATATGTTCTCTCTTGTTATTCTCTGCGATCTGAGTATCGTTGAGAGATTTTATTCATATTTTGAATATTCTGTAATAATATAATAATATATATATTTGATTTTTAGTTAAAGTTTTTTAGTATTGTCATTTGTATTAGTTATGTTTGAAAAATATGTCTATATAGTTTTTATTAATTATTATTTTAGTTTTTAGTTATTGTAGTGTATCAAGTTAAGCTAAATGGAAACAATAAATGTTGCAACCTTCTTATTTAATTTAACCTTTATTTCAAGCAGGGTTATTATAGTTAACATTTCTCATTTTAATTTAGTTTCACTTTATGCACTAAAATTAAATAAAAATTATTTAAAAAACTATATAGACATATATTTTTAAGGACAAAAACAGCTAAATTAGACAAACTAAAATGAAAACGGAAAATATAAAAATAAAAACAGATTCAAAAGACATATAACAAATATAATGGTATCGCAATTATACTAAAGTAACGCTTATTTTAAGTAGCGAAAAATGTATTTTATGGTTTTAGTTTGTTAACTATAATAACCCTGTTAAAATAAATTTAATAATTCCTAATTTCTTATTTTAATTTAGTTTAGTTTAATTTAGTAAAAATAACTAAAACTAAAGTAAAAACCTAACTAATATAAATGACAAAAACAACAAAATTGCAAAAACTATAAATATATATATATATATTACTTTTATTATATTGTGATTAAATTGTGATGATTATGGCTTACAGATATGAAAACCCCAAATTCAAAATTAGAATATTGTGAAAAGGTTTTCATAGCTGTAATCCATAATCATCACAATTATAACACATAAAGGCTTGAAATATCTCACTTTGCATGTAATGAGTCTATATAATATATTAGTTTCAGCTTTTAAGTTGAATTACTGAAATAAATGAACTTTTGCATGATATTCACATTTTTTGAGTTTCACCTATATATACATATATACATGTATATTCAGTATATATATAATACAAGTAATATATATATATATATATATATATTTAAAATTAAATTAGCATCACAAATTCCTATAATAACCCCTACAGAACCTCTTAAAGGAGATCATGTGATCCACGAACGCGTGTTTCTCGGCAGGTTCTGGATCAGCTCAGTTTGCACATCTGGATCCACTGAAGCGCTCCTGCCCTGAGTCCTCGTGTTCGACACACACTCGCCGGGGAACACGCAAACACAGTCACTGCTGCCTTACAGTTTTAAATAAAGCCTGAGATATGAGGGAATATCATTAACACAAATATTTTCATTCTGTTGCATGAGAAGTTCACCCAGCTCTGTTTGGGCTCTTTGCATGTGCAAATTTGACCATAAATACAGTAAAAAATGCTAAATATTTTTTACAATTAAAGTAAAAGTTTTCTATGTGAATATACAGTAAAGTGTAATTTATTCCTGTGATCAAAGCTGAATTTTCAGCATCATTACTCCAGTCTTCAGTGTCACATGATCCTTCAGAAATCACTCTAATATGAGGATCTGATGCTCAAGAAACATTTATGATTATTATCAGTGTTCGTATTTTTTTGGAAACTGGGATACGTTTTATTTCTCAGGACTCTTTAAAGCTGCAGTCCGTATCTTTTCCTCTTTGTCGCCATCTCTCTGTTCGAAATCTGTAACTGCAGTGATTCGCGGAATTATCATCTTTCCGTGGGTTGTAAATCGGCATGAAACAGCGCGGATGAACACAGTGCTTTGAGGCGAGTGCTGCTGTCAGTCACCGCGCTGTGTGGATACTGGCATACAGAATCACAGATTCACTTTTTGAAAGTTTGACCAACATAAAAATTTTCATAAGAAAATGTCTTCTGAACAAGTAAGAAAAATCCATTTTTGTTCTGACCAACTAAGGGGGAAAAAGCATTCGACATGATAAGCTTCGTTAGATTTAATCAACGTGATTTACAGCAACCGTGCAAATTATAGCCTACTTTGTTCTCAAATTGTTCATGTTAACAACATCAGCATTGCGTGACTAATGTTAAATTTAATGTGTTTTATGGTTACCTGTGTAGTTCAGAATTCATATTCTCCATAATAGCAAAACGAGAAAGGCACAACAAAGGAAACTCCATAACTGTGTGAATTAAGAAAACGTACTGTTACACGATTGAACTATTGAAATGTCTTACTTGTTCAGCAGAAAAAAGCCGTCTCTTCTTCCGTCTCGAACCCCTTCAAAACACGGAGTTCCCGCACTTTTCAAAAGCCCCGCCGATGTTTAAATCCTTGTGTTCGCATGAGACGGTTTCTTTCTCTTTCTCTAGCCACCTTAAATCCGAAGTACGAAGTCTTTTGGGTTTTTATAACTGCTGAATCTCCAGTTGACACTGATGATTGTTGTCTGGATCTTTCTGGATGCCATAAGTTTAATCATGTAAAGTGCTGCGAGAAAAGCCTATACATCTAAACATCTCGTCACGCGCAGTATAGCCGGCTAGCCGAAACTCCTTCTTTATGTGTACGGGTGTGACGTCATGACGCAAAGACATGCTCGAATTCCCCGCGGAAACCCACCAGTACCACTGGAATTAAAATCATTATTACAAGCTAACCGTTTTGAATCGAGCTATGGCAAGCAGATAGTTTTGACCACTGGCAGAATAAGTTTTTTTTAATATAATTATTTTGTATTGTTTTTAACTTAAAAAAGTTACGGACTGGAGCTTTAATAAAAGTTCAAAAAGAACAGCATTTATTTGAAATAGAATCTTTTGTAACATTATAAATGTCTTTAATATCAATTGAATGCGTCCTTGATCATTTATTCTATAGTCTGATGGAGTTTCTAAATACGATTCTCTGAATCTGTTTCTAATACCAACCAAAAACTGAGACCGTTGTGAATATTTCCATTCTGTCTCAATTATAGTTCATGTGTACCACACCCTTCATACGGTCCCAATCCAGTCCATAAATCCTTCCTTATGCTCTATTTCTACTTCATTAATGTCAGTCAACCGTCTTTTGCTGAATAACTGAGTAAATGTGGGCGGTCATATGTTAATGAGCTCATGATTGTAACATTGTAATCATGCATATTTATATACGAGTCATTTTAGTGCACTGAAGGGGATCTGTGTGTGGTGTTGGACTCAGAGGTCAAAGGTCAGGCCCTGGCTCTCTCTCTCTCTCTCTCTCTCTGAGAGTCTTCAGGAGAGCATGAATACGCTTTTGTGTGCGAGTGTTTCTGACATGCACAGTCAGCAGCACACACACACACACACACACACACAGGAGAACTGAGAACAGAAGCGCGTTTGAGCGTCTGAATATGAATCTGAAGTTGCTTCATCTGAGAGTCTGATCTGTTTTCTTCATCCACTCTTTCTGTGCATGACATCAGCGCTTCTCACACAAGAGGCTGCGAGGTAAAGCTAGTTATCAATATGTTCATACATATATTAATACAAAAAACAGACTTCTAGACCTGGAAAAGTCATGGAAACCAATAAAATCTTATAAAGCCAATGGAATTTTTATAATAATAATATTTTTTTTTGTTATGTCATATAAAATTGCTATTTGTGAGTAAAAATGATTTATAAATCTCTTTATTTAAAAATGAATAAAGTTGTGCAAATTCATCATCAGTAATAAATTGTGCAAACCCTGATGAACATTAAATTATTTTAGCTATTTTTTTAAATTATTTATAATTATTTTATTTAATTATTTTAATATAGTGCCACTCCTAGTTAATGTAAATAAAAAGTATTGTTATTTTAATGAATGAATTTAATTACTTATAATCGTTTTATTGAATTATTTTAATATAGTGCCACTCTTAGTTTATGTAAATAAAAAGTTAATTTATTTTATTTTGATCAATAATTAAATTACTTATAATTGCTTTAATAAATTATTTTAATATAGTGCCACTCCTAGTTTACGTAAATAAAGAGTAAATTTATTTTGATTAATTAATTTAATTACAATATTTTAATTATTTTAATATAGTGCCACTCCTAGTTTATGTAAATAAAAAGTTAATTTATTTTATTTTGATTAATAATTAAATTACTTATAATTGTTTTATTTAATTATTTTAATACAGTGCCACTCCTAGTTTATGTAAATAAAAAGTATTATTTTATTTGAATTAATTTAATTATTTATAACTATAATTAATTGAATTATAATTGTTTTAATTATTTTAATATAGTGCTACTCCTAGTTTTAATAAAGTTACATTTTATTATTTTATTTGAATTAATTTAATTCTTTATAATTGTTTTAATCAAGACTGATATGAGTTTCCTCACCCGCCGGCGATGCGTCCGCGCGGTCGCAGCATCTGTTGCCACGGTAACGGCCGGTTCCCGGACTCGACCTGGCGGCGTCAGACTCGAGCCCCTGAGCTCCACTAGGACCCGAGCGCAGACACACAGCAGAGATAGCAGGAGACTCGCGCGCAGCAACACACACCTGTTCATCCTCGTCCCTCACGGCTCACTCTTCACACTCCATCCTGCAGGGTTCACACACACCGAGTCTGCGCTGGGTTACAGATTCATGAAGCAGAACACACTGATCTATAACAGTAAAGCGTCATGATGACAGCAACCACATACAGGGTGTCTACAGATATAAACAAGTTACATTTAATGCTAAAAAAAAAAAATATTATAAAGACAGTTTACATTGGAGGCATTGAATTTTTCTGACATTTATCTGCGAAAGACACATTTAGTTGCCAAATGACTCAAAAACAGAAATAAAATGTGAATTATGCACTTTTCCAAACATAACATTTGGTCCGAGAACAAAAGAAGATTAGTGTTAAGTATTAAGTATTGACTCACATACATGCTGATCTTTTTGTGATTGCATGTAGACAAAAACACAATAAATAAAAAGGGAAAAGGAAAAGAAAAAACGGTAATTTAAGACTTTTAAGACCTTTTTAATGCCACTTTGAATGGAATTTAAGACCAAACCTGTGATGGAAAGATACATTATATTACATATGTATATGTAATATTTAACCAAAGTAATTTAACTACTTGTTTATTGAACTAAAATCAATATAACATTTGCAATCGTGAGAATATCCAGGAAAATAGCTCCCATTATGTTACTTAACTATATGTTAAACATAAACTCAACATTGTGAATTTTTACCTCAGTGAGTTTTTTATGTGTGCTGTTCATTTGTTTTGATTTCTCACTATAAAATCTCTCAGAGAGAGACGGGCGAGTCTCAACAGCGCTACCAGAAATACATCATCATTATCAATCGCTGTTTATGTGATAAAATCAGAATCATTCTCGCGAGTCGATGCTTCGCTGGTTATTTGACGGACATCCGTCAGACGGGAGAGATTTTAGCGGTAGTGTGACCAGAAATATTTAAAGCAACACTAAGTAAGAATTTTTACCTTAAAATAATGTTTTAAAAATGGTTTCAGTGGTTCATCAAGTCGTGACATGGTGAAATGCACTTATGGCACGCTTTGCGGTCTTTTATCTGATATATCCACGCTATGTAAGATTGCCAGATCGGGTCGCGTTTCTGTAGTGCGAATGAGACCTAAGAAAACTACAAATTTGACTTGCTTTACGGCAAGCGTTACAATTGCCGATAGGTGGAGCGTACTCGACAGTAGACTACCACTACACTTTCATAAAATCATGCATCATACTCTACCTTGTCTGTGGCCATTGTTGATTCCAAAGCCGGTGCTGGATAAACAGAGAGCATGTGCGTGCGCGTGCGACAGTCGGCTGCGCTAGGCTAAATTATTTACCACGGCGGTAATGGACAATTCTGCTTCTAACCTGTAGGGCGACCGCAGAGGAAAAGTTGCTTGGTGTTGCTTTAAGACCCATCAAATCTGAATTTAAGACATTTGAATACTTTTTAAGGACCCGCGGCCACCCTGACCTAGTAACACCATACCAACCGCCCAGAATACCCTAACAACAGCCTAGCAACCACCCAGAACATCTTAACAACCCACTAGAAACACCCTAGCAACCGAGTGGCGAGTTTTGCCACTACAAGCACCACTCACATTTTCTTCAGGAAATGTACATTCTAGTTTTAATATGTTCTTCGAGGATCACTTATAATGCTAATAAAGTTTTTTTTGCACAAAATATATGATTATTTTCAAACTTCGTTCTAAGCATGCATCTGAAATGATCCGCTTTAAGGCTTCTCAGTGAACGCCACTGTTATGATTGGAGGAAGCGGTATCAATTAGGGGTGCGCCAAAATATCGATATGGCGATATCTCACGATATTTACTCCCGCGATCGATTCTCGATGCGATCTTAAAAGCCGTTATAAAACGCTCTATTCATTATCCGAGTTGACTGGATTTGACTAGCTTTCATGAGGCACACACGCAAAGTCTCTCGCTCTCTCCCTCTCTGCCGCGCTATGTATGTTATGCGCGCAGTAGGCTGTTCTGTCTCGCATGCGCGCTCTAGATTCCGGGAGATTTGAACTTATTTGCGGGCATCAGGGAGACGCTATTAATATGCGGGAGACTCCCGGAACTTCCGGGAGACTTGGGATGTCTGGATTTGCAAAAGTCCGCTACACGGGAAACACGACCACATGCACAGACACCTCACGCGGCATCACCCGGAGCTCTGTGAGAAAGCGTGGTTGGTTCTGGCTCGAAGCCGACACACCCCGGCGTAAACATTTTTATTACTACTGATTGCAGCAATGTTACACTAAAATAGTGTCTGTGACTGTTTTGTTGCAACTGATAAGACACAAGTTGTTTTTGTTATTGTGTTTCATCCAAAAAAATAAATGGAGATTAATTTTCCTAATTAAAAAAAAATGTCTATTTCTTAAAACATGATATATTGTGAGTTATTACTGATAATATGTCGATTATCGCAGTATCGCCATATCGTGATATTATCGGTATCGTGAACAATGTATCGCATATCGTATCGTATCGTGAAGTAGCAAGCGATTCCCAGCCCTAGTATCAAAGCCCACTTACTATTTCACGCAAGTAAGAGTTTTGAAAACATTATCCATATTAAAAAACTGTCCTTTACAGACAAAGCGTTATGAAATAATTTCCTATAATGACAGTGGGCGGGGCCTATAATGATAGTGGGTGGGGCCTATAATGACAGTAGGCGGGACCTATAATGACAGTGGGCGGGGCCTATTATGATAGTGGGTGGGGCCTATAATGACAGTGGGCGGGACCTATGCCGCGATGATGTTTAACTATTGGTCGACGTCTTGCTCTGTTGCCTGTGTGACATCACAGATCACCCAATATCAAAACAAGCTGTTTTTTGAGCTCTTATGTCAAAGGATCAAGGTAAATTTAATTTCTCATGTCATGACCTCTTTAAAATGTGATAGCGACAATTAGAACACGGAGTAAACTCAAAAATGTCAACTTTTGGCATTAATTGTAGCATGATGTGCATCTCAAGTTATCAGAATCATGTTCTAAACTGGTCAAATATGAGTAAATTTTTCATAATTTAAATTGTATTATTACACAGATTCATTTATTTTGATTTGATTCCATCAAAATCCAAAAAAAAATAAAGTTAGATAAAGTAGATATTTTAGATATTTTGTACAGTCTATCATTCTCTGGATTTACAAAAATAGACATTAACATGTTGAATTTGTTGTAAAAATTTCAGTATTGTGACACACACACACACACACACACACACACACACACACACACACACACACACACACACACACACACCATTACTGTGATATAAAACTAAATGGAAAAACTTTACAATAAGGTTTCATTAGTTAAAATCAGTTAACTGCATTAGTTAGACATGAACAAACTAAAAGTGAACAATACTTCCAAAGCTTTTGTTAATCTAAGTTAACATTATTGCATCTGTTAATATTAGACTATTTAAGGAAGTATGATAACATGAACTAACAGTGGTTGTATGAACTACTGTTAGTTAATAGATCGCGCTCACCTCTTTTCTCCTCCTGATCTTCTGCTCTTCATGTCTGAGCGTTTGTTTTCCTCACTTCTGTCGTTCAGACGCTCAGAGTGTGTTCGTCGGTGAACATCTTCTGCTGCTGAGAGAGAGAGTGTGTGTGTGTGTGTGTGTGTGAGAGAGAGAGAGAGAGAGAGAGAGAGAGAGAGAGAGAGAGTGAGAGAGAGAGAGAGAGAGAGAGAGAGAGAGAGAGAGAGAGAGAGAGAGAGAGAGAGAGAGAGAGAGAGAGAGAGAGAGAGAGAAGAAGAGCTGGAGAAACTGCAGTCGTCACTCGGAGGTCTGGAACTCCCCCTTTAGACCCGCCTCTCTTCATAAACACACACACACACACGTTTCCAGAGTCCCTATCCGCCCACATGCCTCTGGAACTCTAAACAAAGACACACACACACGTTTCCACCCACTAAATCCAGTGAGGTGAAGCCAGAGCCGTTGAAAAACGGGTCTGGGTGGAGCTAGAGCTCCAGCGAGGGGAAGAGCTGGAGCTCTAGCTCCTCCTATTTGGCTCTGCATCGAGTACCACTTGAGTCCAGTGGCGGTTCTAGAGGGAGGCCAGGGGGGGGGGGGGGGGGCCAGTGCCCCTGCTGTGACAAAAAGCTTGGCCCCCCTTGTGGCCCCCCTAAATGTGGAGTTTGAAATAATTTGTACAAAACTGTTTTTTGCTATCGTTGTTATCGTTGTATGCGTATTATTTTTTATTATTCTATCTTTGTGGATTTGCATTTTTTAACGTGACAATTCGCATCACATTCCCGGGAATCGCGGCAGAATAACGCCTGTCTCCTGCACGCGAGAGAGGAGAGAAGGAGAAAGTTGGTAAATGTCAGTTCAGTTGTAAGTTCATTCTTTATGTGCGAATGGGGTGTGTGATGTGTAGCCTATTGTCTATTATGATATTGTAATCATTGTTTTAACTATGTAGGCACTGTGAGGTGCCATCGCATTTGTCTATCGTCCTTTCACTGCTGTGTGCAGTTCATAGGTAGGCTATGTCCCCAAATTAGTTTTTGTCTTATATTTATATCATATTATGTTCTTATATTAGAATATCACATCAGCAAGAGTGCAGTTTTCCCATGCACAATTGCAACTGTGATATTTATGTTATACAACAGTTAAATTAACAATAAGTTAACATTGGGAAAACTTTTTAGACACAATATTGTCAATATTGTTTGTTTTCCCTTTATTTCGCCGACTAGAATTTCATAATGAAACCGTAGCAGAGTCTCAATGCAACACAGCGATGATTTTGACTAGTCTGAAATCCGCGTTTTGAACGAATCACTTGCTTCTTTCCCGAATGAATCAGCCGTTTGAACAAATCGGTTGAATGAATGAATCCCTCTTACAGGGACTTGCCGCCGCCTACTGGCGGTTTTAGTTTCATATTTAAAGTATCCTTTAATTAAAACGTTAAAATTAGAAATCATTTCATATTTAAATATTGATTTAAAAAAAATCTCATAGCTTTATTTATGCTATTGTAAATGGAGTGTAAATATATTAATGCCACTTCTGTGTCACCTCTGCACTGCAAAGATGGATTTTAATTGAATTAATTAATTTGACTGGTAGCAGTGGTACTGTATAATTATTGTATAATTAAGTATTATTGTATAAATAAGTATAATTATTGTATAATTTGAATGTTAGTATTTGACATAAAAGGTGATGCATAACTCTAAATAAGTTTAGAAAAAATGTCCATATATAGGTGAAAATGCCCCTGGAAATCAATTTAAGGTGGCAAATATTGCCCCTTAATTAAAAAAATTATTTCTGTCACTGCTGTGAACTGACCATATAATATGAAAAATATGAATATCTTCGTGAGTCAGCTGTCAACAACAGGCCTAAACCAGCCATGGCACCAGCACAAAAACACAATCAGTAAAATATCATCTAATTATTATCAACAAAACGTTGAAAATATTGAAATATATTTTTGTCAATATTGCACACCCCTAATGTACGGTATTGATTTTGATTTCTTTAGGTCTTAAAAAGCCTTAAATTTGACTTTAAAAAGTGTGCAGGAACCCTGTAAACGGTTAGACGTAGTTACCTAGAAAGTCAGTTATTTTCAGTAAATGAATTAATAAGCTTCTTGGTCCCCATTGCTTTTGCTCTATAGTTCTCAAAATGAAGAGAAAGAAGGACATCATGTCTATTACAGTTACTGTGACTAATACTGAATATGTAATGCAAATGTAAAAATATAATGGAAATGCAAATACATTGTTGAATGATTATAAACACGGTATTTTGCCTGTTAATGCCTGCAGTAGTGCAGAAAATGATAGGACAACAATAAGGTCTAAATGTAACTGGCCCCTCTAACAGTACAACTGGCCCCAGCTTGGCCCCCCCAGTTGAAATGGGCTAGAACCGCCACTGCCAGAGTCTCTCTCCACTCATGCCTCTGGAACCCTAGACACACATGCACACACGTGAATGCATTTATTTGGATCTGAAAGACATTACAGAGAAAACAAGATCCAAATACTCTGGGAAGGGTCCCATGCTCCACACACACACATACACACACACACACACACACACACACACACACAGCGCACGCGCACAAACACGCACACACGTTTCCAGAGTCTCTCTCCACTCACATGCCTCTGGAACCCTAGACAAAGACACACACACACACACACACACACTCAGGGATCTTCGAGATCAGTGAATCTCAACCTGCCACACAAGAGACTTAAAACAAGCTTTAAAATCAGATAATAATCAATATGTAAGCTGACATCATAATTCTTATTTTAATTTATTCCCTTAAAAACTTTTTTTTTTGTAGTTTCATCACTTTGTACTCCTATTATCTGACATGATACAGTCATTTACACTCTATCTGTTTCTTTATGTAGGCTAAGTGTGTGCTGTCAGTGGATCAGAATCTGTATTTCTGCTGGAGACTGACACTTGCTGGTGTCTTTAGGAATTAGATTTCAGGTAAAGTGCCATTTTTTCCAATCATATTTCGCCCAAAATTAGAGTATTATTAAATAATGTCATCTACTTTATTTCCTCCTCTAATTCCTTCACTTTATTCTTATCCGTTTATCGCTGTCTCATGCTTTCTGGTTTGCTTTATACAGGCTTTATTTCTTCTTTGGAAAACCAAGTGAAGATGTTTATTAGGGCTACATGGTAAATGGATGGTAATTTACACTGAAGAGTAACAAAAAAGCACCATAAAAATATAATAACAATAATTCACATGTTTTTTGCACTCCAAAAAGACCAAAAAGTTACTATCATCTGCTGCTCTCAGACCTGTTAAAATCAGAAAATGTAGGCAAGAAAATGAAACCATAGTTGTGACTTATTTCTCATAATTTAAAGCAAATGAATTATTAATATATAAATATATATATATATATATATATATATATATATATAATAAAAGGTGACCTAAAAGATGTACCAAAACCAAAGCTCAAATACTCCATTCCAGAAATCAATATTAGTGTGTAGAAGTGTGTGTTTTTGTCTAAAGTTCAGCGTACTGTAGTTTATTGTCATTCAAACTTAATTCAGGTCAGTGTGAAGAGTTCAGAGTCTATAATTGTGCATCTCCTAAATATAATCCATATCCACATTGACGGGGTTACATGTAAAAATGTTTATTTCATGTTTAGCCAGATCTATAGTCTATAGTCTCAAATAAACTTTAATCAAGTACTAACTATCAATCAAACTGTCAGTGTACATGTAAAGGTTTTCTATTATGCCCTTTTACGAAGTCTTGATTTTGTTTTTGGGGTGTATTAGAATATGTTCTCATATGTTTTCATGCTTGATTGATTAAAAAAATGCATCTTTTAATTTTTTTTTTTTTTTTTTTTTTTTTTTTTTACATATTTTACATTATTAGCTCCTTTCTCCCCAGTCTGGTTGAACGCATAGTTTTCGATGAAGCTCCTCCTTCCGAAATACGAAATGTGCTGTGATTGGTTAGCTGGCCCAGTGTGTTGTGATTGACAGCGCTTTAGCTCGTGTTTGGGAAATGTCCCGCCCCTTCATAAGCGCAAGCTCTACTCCGATGTAAATATTAACTGTGGCGTCTATCTCAAACCACTTCGAGCCCGATTCAGACCCTGACAATGTTAACGAACGAGGATTGTGCTGAACCGATTTCAAGCACTGACTTTGCTAGCACTGATTTCACAGGACGTTTCAGAGTGGTATTTGTTTTTAAAATACATTTTATATACGATGTTATACACAATTTAATCATGGTACTTGTCGGAAAACAATGGTAATACAAACAGTAATCGATCACAGAATCATGCATAATTTTCCTAAGGGGCGATGAACGGTCTAACAAAATCCAGAGCTTACAAGAGCTCCAGTAAATACTACATCAATACTGTAATGTTAGTTAGCAGGCTAGCGGAGGCAAAGCTTAACATCAGAGCTATCATAGCAAATACTTAAAGCTTATAATTGGAACTGTTAATAGAAAACACAACTACAAATAATAATTGATGTTAATGTTCAGGAACAGTGTTAAAAATACATTTTAACCTCTCTAAGTTCGTCAGCTTTAGGACAAACTTTTTTCCGGGGTGTAAAATCAAAGACATCTCTTTCTTTTCTCTAAAGCAGCCCAACATGGCATCGCCCCCTTTGTTGCTGTTCCCGGGGGCGGGGTTTATGCAAATTTTAGGGATTATGTTGTCACCACCAGTAGGTAGTCCCTACCAGTCCTTTGTTGTAGTCATTAAAAACAATTTCTGTAAAAGAAAATATCTCCCATTGCATTGAACTTTTAGCGTCTTAACTTTGCAGATGTTGTTTATGCTCAAACAGCAACATTACACACTAACTAAAGTTAAAAAAGTGAAATCATAATCAACCACCCCATTAATGACCTCATCTGTCGACATGACGCCGGTGAATCGCAGAGCAGGTGCAAACATATCCGTCGCTCTCTACAGCGTATCGGCATCGGGATCTTCGTTTACAGTATATCACTGCAAAGGTATTTTCCACTTCTTTTTACTTCTAAGAACAAAAATGTGTGAGTATATTGGGGTTTTGAATCGTGTTCATTATATCATGTTCATTTACGTGTGCACGAGTGCGAGCACGAGCAATGCGCTGCTGCTGCAGTTCACTTAACGGCCACCGGTGTCACTCATAACAAGGGTTTCTGAATTCGAAATAGACCCTTTATTTTTTTTCCTGAAGCAGAATTGTCCTTGCATTAGTTCAGATCAGCATATGCACATGAGGAGTTTCTGTTTGTCACAAAGTCCTTGTTTATTTAAAACTAATTTTGCTGATCTAAACATTTACATAGATTAAGCAAGACTGAGATTTTTTTTTTAAATTCACTTCAAGTTTTGTTGTCCTCCGATTGTGTCAGTGCACTTAAATCAATAATATACTGAAGCAACAAACTGAGCAAATAAAAGGCCTTAATTCTGCTACAGCCTATGAATGAACTTTGCACACATGAGTTTGTTTTGCTATAAATGTTCTGAAAACTGAGGCTGTGAAAAGAAGAAATGTTCTGAAGTCATCATGGTTGATAATAAGCTCTGTCTTCTGCTGCTTTTGACCGTCGCCATGTCCAGTAAGTATCTCTACTGACGCTCTACGAGTAGCACAAATTGAAATTTCACAATTAGTTTCTGTCCGACTTTTTTATTTTTTTACCCTCAAATATTCGCACTGCAAAAAGTTTTCTTTCTCTGTATTTTTTCCAATACAAGTAATAAAATACATTTACTAAAAATGCAAAATGACATATTAAAATTAAGTGAGATTTGTCGTTAAAACACATGAAATATTCCGATACAAACATTTTTGCTTAATTAAAATATCGGAAAATATTTTTTTCCAGTTTAATAGGATTGTTGAGATGCATATGAAATCCATATCGAAGCCCATTTCCGCCACATGAGATAAAGAATCATGCTTTAGTAAATCTTAATTATGACAAAAATGTTGAGATGAAAGTCTTAATTATGACATACTTAGTCATAATTATGAGATTGAAAAGTCAAATCATGACATAAAAAGTCGTAATTGACATACTAAGTCATAATAATATTTATTATGAAATAAAAGTAAAAAATGCAAAAACTTGCAAGTCATAATTATGAGATAAGAGTAACTTATTACATTAAAGTCATAATTCTGACATACTAATAATTGTGGCTTTTTATATCAGTTTTGACAAGGTAAAAAAAGTTATAATTATGAGTTAAAAATGTGAAATTACGACATACTAAATCATAATTTTGAGATTTAAAAGTCAAAATCATGACATAAAAAGTAATAATTATAATCATAATTATAATAATTATAATTATGCAACTCATAATTATAAGAGAAAAGTCATTTTATCTCATAATTATATCAATTATGATCCAAGATGAAGTTAGGACATAAAAAGTCCTAATTATGAGATTGAAAATTCAAAATAATGACATAAAAAGTCGAAATTGACATAAGTCATAATTTAGAATTGTTTTGTCATAATTATGATATAAGTCATTATTATGAAATAAAAAAAATTATGATGTGCTAAGCACTACAATCAGAACATTTGAATTAATTTGACTCTTTTCACTTCATTGGCAGGTATTTCTCGTTTCTGAATGCCATTGCAATAAAGAACTTTCCATTTAACATTTCCATTTAATCATTTAGCAGACGCTTTTAACCAAAGCAACTTACAAATGAGGAGAATAATAGAATCAATCAAGCAGCGACTGACCACCAGTGCAAGTTTATAGGGAGAGGAGTGACGTGCATCTCTTTGGCTCGATAAACACACTCTTGCTGCAGCATCTGGATCAGTTGCAGAGGTTTGACAGATGCTGGAAGGAGAGAGCATTGCAATAGTCCAGTCTGGAGAGAACAAGAGCTTGGAAGAGGAGTTGTGTAGCTCTGATAGGAAGGATCCTCCTAATGTTGTATAAGGCAAAACTGCAGGACCGTGCAGTTCTAGCAATGTGCTCTGTGAAGTTCAACTGATCATCAAACACAACTTCAAGGTTCCTGGCTGTCCTGAGAGGAGTTAAGGTTGACGAGCCAATAGCTGAATGGAGAAGTTGTGCTGAAGTGTTGGGTTGGCCGAGACCACGAGTAGTTCTGGCTTCACAAGGTTGAGTTGAAGGTGGTGGTCCTTCATCCAGCAAGAAATGTGACAACCTATCTGGTTGGAATGAGAGGTAGAGTTGTGTGTCATCAGCGTAGCAGTGATGGGAAAAGCCATGAGTAGTAACTAGCCTAAACCACCTGTCAAAATGATTGATTGACGGGTAGGCGTGGCTATCCTTTGATCTTCCCCGCCCCTTCCGGTCCCACCCCTTGTCCCGCCCCTTCCTGTTACCTTTGACCTAGTTCCGGCCCTTCCTGTTAACTTTGACCTAGTTCCGGCCCTTCCTGTTACCTTTGACCTAGTTCCGCCCCTTCCTGTTACCTTTGACCTAGTTCCGCCCCTTCCTGTTAAACTTTCTGTCAAAATGATGGATGGTGACCTTTGATCTAGTTTCCCCCCCATTGCGGTTACACTTTCTGTCAAAACGATGGATGGTGACAGTTAGTTTGATGTTTGAAGTTAGTTTGATCAAGAAAAAGGGGGGGGGGGGGAGCCTATAGGATGTGTGACAGTTAGTTTGATGTTTGAAGTTTATCACGGGCAGCTGTGAAAGTGATAAGAAAAAAATGTAGAACTATTCACAGAACCAAGCATTTCAGTTTATATAAAATGTTGGAAGTTTATCTGTTCTGTAAAAAGAATATAAAATAAAATCTTACAGCTTATGAATCAATTCAAATGTATGAATAATCTCACACTGCCTCAAAACATAGGGAGCGCACGTCTATGTATGTGTGTGTGTGTGTCAGGGGCGTCACTAGGCCCTTTTTAGGGGGGCTTCAGCCCCCCTAAACTTCTGCCTAGCCCCCCTAAAAATGTGAGATTAATGTAGGCTACACAAATTCGTGTTCGCTTCAGTCTTGTTATAATCAGATTCAGCGCGTTCTTCATCTTCAATCCGCAGTGGCGCCGACAGAGAGCACGTCAGAAACAGAGGACAGGGTGTGTGTGTGTTCATGTGTGTGTTCATCTGAGCCTCATTGGTCTGTCACTGCTCGTCAATGTCAGAATTTTTGAGATGACCAATCAAATCAAAGTAGGCGGGCTTTATGTTCACAGACGCTGAGCGCGCGAATTTTAACAGTGCGACTCGACGCGTATGGTCAAGTGCGAGATAAGATGTAAGTAGCTAAACTTAACATTTCATATTTTACTTTTTTTAGGTCATAAATGTTAAACGAATAACAAAAAATAATCAGGCAAACTAATATAGTTATGTCTAATTTCACCATTTTGTACTGAAAATAGGCCTATGTAACGTGACTCATGTAGGCCTAATGTAATAATTAGTTTACAAGAAACATTAACAAAGCCGTTTTCATCATGTTAGGCACAAGATTAATAATGAATGTGTACATATTGAGGATATAATACAAATTGTAGCCTTTAGTAAATTAAAAAAGCTCAGCTTTAGGAGGGGAAGAGAAAGGGACGAAGAGACTGAGAAAAAAAGAAAGAGTGATGGAGATGAGAAGAGAGCAGGTATTGACAAATAATCTACTGCCCACTGACATGGTTTTAAAGCTATTTCTTATCCTTTTTTTGGTCTTCAAACGTCTTGAAATGCACATATCAGAGAAATAAAAAATTTGAACCCCCTACCAACCTCAAATTTAGGACCTCTGTGACTAAAGCCCTGTCTACGGCCCTGTATTAGGCATAAGATCCATAATAAATATGTAGCCTACATATTGTGAATGCATTTAATAAACTTAATTACCTTTAGTAGCTTTCAGTAAATAAACGAGTCTGAGAAAATGATTCTTGGGAAAATTAACCTATCAGTTGACCCTATGTTTACTTTCTTCACTGACAGACAAAAATGAAAAGCCTATATCAGTCAAAGCTCAGCTTTAGGAGGGGAAGAGACAGGGCAAGATAAAAACAAAGAGAAAAAGAGTGTGATGCTGATGAGGAGAGAAAAATAATCAGCTGCCCACTATCCAAGTTTTTTGGCCTTCAGAACATCTTAAAATGCACATAAAACAGAGAAATCAAAATTTTCTAGGGGAGACCCCGAACCCCCTTATTTGCACTACCTCACATTTGGGACCACAGTTATTATAAAACCGTGCCTTTGCATCGTAATGAAAATGGTTAATAGTGATCTTTAGATCCTAAACTAAAGTGTTAAAAAATTTTATATTTAAAAAAAAAATCATATTGGGGGCTTAGCCCCCCTAAAATGAAAATCCTAGTGATGCCCCTGGTGTGTGTCTCTGTGTGTGTGTGTGTGTCACACAAATGGGTACGTTTAGATCAGTGTTTCTCAACCTCTCCTGCAGGGACCCCCTGACAGGCCATGTTTCTGTTTTAACCCTGAAATGGCACACCTGATTCAAGTCATTAAAGGCTTAATGAGTAGTTGACTAATTGATTAATTGAACTATTCCTACTCTAATTACTCATTAAGCCTTTAATTACTTGAATCAGGTGTGCCATTTCAGAGTTAAAACAAAAACATGGCCTGTCAGGGGGTCCCTGCAGGAGAGGTTGAGAACCACTGGTTTAGATCAAATATAAAATAATCTTACATGTTTAGAGAGCAGGGGTTTTCTTCCCACACGGTAGCGCCGGATCTCTCTGAAAACTATCTCCAATTATAATCTTTTTGGACCGTAGGGAGTTAGGGAGTTGTGTGTGTGTGTGTGTGTGTGTGTGTGTGTGTGTGTGTGTGTGTGTGTGTGTGTGTGTGTGTGTGTGTGTGTGTGTGTGTGTGTGTGTGTGTGTGTGTGTGTGTGTGTGTGTGTGTGTGTGTGTGTGTGTGTGTGTGTGTGTGTGTGTGTGTGTGTGTGTGTGTGTGTGTGTGTGTGTGTGTGCACGCGTATGTTGCAGTGGCATGGATCTCCTTCCCTCCCTCCGCATTCCAGAGCAGATGGGAATTGGTAGGAAAGTGAAAGTGAGAATATCATATATTTCACACTAACTAAGGTTGAAAACCATTCAGTTCTTTAAAAGTATAAAAATTTAATATTTCACATACTAACTAAGGTTGAAAACCATTCTGCTCTTTAAAATAAATATCTTACTGAACAAATTATCTCAAAACAAAAAATAAAAAACAACTTACATTTTTAGAGATTTAAAGAAGTAGTTCCTAACACATAGATGTCCATACATGAATGGGGTACAAAATTGCAATGAGTTTAAAGATCCCAAAGTGTTTCTCTCTCACAAGCGTTTGACAGTCTCTGAGTCAGAGGTGACGGGGAGAGTACGTGTGTGTGTGTGTTCAGTATGAGCATCAGTTTCATGAGGAGGTCTCTGCCTTACACAAAAATCTTACAAGGGGTGCATCACATCATTGTCACTCTTGTTTTGCTAAGAGAACATAAAGTCTAAACATGTTTCAACATCTGGTGGCTATATGACATTAGTCCAGATTTGAGAATTTATTTCAAAGCATAATCGTAAAAGTTTAAATATGATCTTTTAAAACGAAATGATTGTTTAAATTAAATCTT